CCCTCTTTTGAGCCAGTGCCCCCGACTGGGCCCCCATTTAAAATGCTCTAGACACACCCCTGTGAACGGGCATCTGCATATGATCAGAACTCTACGTATCTCCTGCACTACTCTCCATTGGAAATGAATGACTTTCGGTCTGTCATTTATCGAAAATAGTGGAAAGCCGGCTTGAAACGCACTGGAAACGCCAGTATGACGAGGATAGTTTTCATTTTAAAACAAAAACACACCAGTTTAAATGTAGCCTTACATCTAAGGGGGCTGGGACGCATTCACACTAAATCTTCACGTGTGAGCCACAACTCTGAGTGTAACCGGTGACACGGACCGACTGTGCAGACCGATCGTTGTATTAAAGTACCACGAGCAGACTGCTCCCACGCTTTCGATCTGCGTGCGCCGCTTCAAATCGAGCACACCTAGTGCTGCAGGCTTATTGGCTCACTGACGTTGATGAGATTGACCCCTTAGGTATCGAAATTTGGTACCGAACGACGAGACGTTTTTTGATACTCGATGGTATTGAGGCAATTCGGTCGGTGCCTAAAAAGTATCGAACTCTACCCAGCCCTAGAGGCGACAGTTTGTGGTTCCTGTCCTTGGTTTCTCTTGGTTTACATGAAACGACAAAAACAGGCCAACAATTCATAAATGTATGCACAAAGACCCGTAATTGTTCCTTTAATTCTTACTGAATGAGTAGAGTTGGACTTGTAGAACTAAAATTAAATAAATACAGATATTTCTTAACACAAATATTTTGTTTGTATGCATTATGTAATTGTAAATCTGTTTAACTATGGCAATAAAGCAGAGTATCTTCAGAATACATTGTGACTACACAATTAATTACAACCTAAATAAAAGTGTACTACTACTAGACAAACATACGGCATGCTATTTTCATTAAAACTGTTTTAGCACTGTAAAGCAAACGTAAAAGTGGAAAAGTAGTGTGCTGGGACTGCACTTTTTATTTTAAATACCATTTCAGGATAGAGGAATAAAGATTAAGAACCACTCTCCACATACAGTGGGGCAAAAAAGTATTTAGTCAGCCACCAATTGTGCAAGTTCTCCCACTTAAAAAGATGAGAGAGGCCTGTAATTTTCATCATAGGTATACCTCAACTATGAGAGACGAAATGAGAGAAAAAATCCAGAAAATCACATTGTAGGATTTTTAAAGAATTAATTGGTAAATTCCTCGGTAAAATAAGTATTTGGTCACCTACAAACAAGCAAGATTTCTGGCTCTCACAGACCTGTAACTTCTTCTTTAAGAGGCTCCCCTGTCCTCCCCTCGTTACCTGTATTAATGGCATCTGTTTGAACTCATTATCAGTATAAAAGACACCTGTCCAAAACCTCAAACAGTCACACTCCAAACTCCACCATGGCCAAGACCAAAGAGCTGTCAAAAGACACCAGAGTTATTTTATACTGTGCTCTTTTCTACTGTACTTTAAACAGTTAATAGTTTTACAGATTTTCATATCAATTTCGTGATCAGATGAAAGAAATCGCTCTCGCACAGAGAAAATGTGTGGCTCTTAAAAGAGCCTTTGGTTGGAGAATAAACGCCACTCGGTTTACTTGGCTTTGGCGGGTTTCTCGGTCTTCTTGGGCAGCAGCACGGCCTGGATGTTGGGCAGCACGCCACCCTGAGCGATGGTCACGCCACCAAAAAGCTTGTTCAGCTCCTCGTCGTTGCGCACCGCCAGCTGCAGGTGACGGGGGATGATACGGGACTTCTTGTTGTCCCGAGTGGCGTTTCCACCCAGCTCCAGGATCTCAGCAGTGAGGTACTCGAGGACAGCGGCCAGATAAACGGGAGCTCCGGCACCGACGTGCTCGGCATAGTTGCCTTTGCGGAGAAGCCTGTGAACACGACCGACGGGGAACTGCATAGGCCATAAGGTGAACTAGGAAAAAGAGGCTAGAAAGTGATTTTCGTTCCCACCCCTGGGCACTACTTTTTAAATGCATTTTTGCATAGACAACACCATATTGGACTTTGTTTAAAGTTCTCCGCAAAATATCCTGCAGTTTTTTTTGTCACAATCCATAAATGTGTATAATTGTGAATTTAAAAAAACGAAAATCGTATGCTGCTGGTTTTGTCTTGAATATGTACAAGAATGCTAGTGTCTTCTTTCATCTCAGCAGCTTTCAGCAACTGGCCTGTAAATAAATAGAATGAAACAAATTTGTACATAAAAACCATTATGTAAAAACTGTTAACAGTTAAGCAATTTTGAGTGTTCTGGCTGTAGCTGTATGCAAAATGCAAATCTGTAAACATTAAATAAATTACGTAATTGTAATTTAAATTTAGCCATGGTGTCCAGCATATGGCATAAAACTTCAAAGTTCAAACGTGTGTTTGTTTACCCACCTGCTGACAATGTTTCTGCCTGTGAAAGATGGTCCTTCTGGCGTTTGCCTGCCACAGTAATGTACTTGTCCGTTTTCTTACAAATGATGCACAAGGCAGGAAGGCAGGAAGCTGCACAAGCTACTGGCAGGCCCGTCCTGGACCTAAGTTTCTTTGTCGGGCATTCAGTTATTGAGGTACTGAGGTACTATGACACGGACTGGTCTTTGTGAGCATCTTGGACTTCAGGACGCTGTGTGACACGTTTCTCTGCCGCATCCAAGCGCTTTTTGTCAATTAAACACCTGTAGCAAGTGGAGTGAAACCCAGCGTCTTCGGGAACATTTTCAAACTCGATTTCTAGACGATGTTTGTATGTTTCTGCTATTCTCTGATTCTCACCCTGCAAACCAAGCCACCGTTTGACGCTATTTCTGAATGTATCCCATCGTGTGCGTATAAAATCCTTTGTTTCTTCTTTCTTTATGGACGTGAGATGCATTTAGCATTGTTTATAATCCTTTTTACGGAGTTTTGAAGGAGGTCTGGCCGTAATTTCCTCTTCTTCGCTACTCGATATTGACAACAAGGGCGCAGACATCTTGGACTCATGTTTACATGTCGTTCCAAAAAGCGGCCGCCTTATTGGTCGTGCTTCCCACACGTGACGCGAAGCCTAATCACTCATGATCAAAATATGATTACGCGAGTAAGGAACTATTGCCGACTTTAAACACTTATAAAAATAAACTGCAGGATTATACATGGAGAACTTTTATTTTCTCGCTCAAAACCAATAGATATTTTTATTGGAATGAGAAGAATTTAGTGCCCCATATATGGGAACGGGATTAAACGAAAAACGGCTTCACCTTACGGCCTAATCGTGTCATTGATGCGGAAGCAGTTCAGCTCATAGCGTGCGAGTAAATTGTGAGATTTGTGAGAGAAAATCGCCAAATGGCTAATAAAAAGTTGTGTTGCAAATGTTATTCGCCGATTCTGACTCTGAAGGGGAATATTTGCCTTATGGAAATGACGATCGGTCGTCTAATGATCGCGCTTCTCCCGGTACATCTTTGCAGCGCAAGGCGCGAGTGTTCACGAAGCACAAACAAGCGATCATTTCGACGCTTTGCCCAAAAAGGTTTGGGGGTGGCAGGGGTGAACGTGGTCATAGTGTCCATATAGGCCATAAGGTGAACTAGGAAAAAGAGGCTAGAAAGTGATTTTCGTTCCCACGCCTGGGCACTACTTTTTAAATGCATTTTTGCATAGACAACACCATATTGGACTTTGTTTAAAGTTCTCCGCAAAATATCCTGCAGTTTTTTTTGTCACAATCCATAAATGTGTATAATTGTGAATTTAAAAAAACGAAAATCGTATGCTGCTGGTTTTGTCTTGAATATGCACAAGAATGCTAGTGTCTTCTTTCATCTC